ACAGGTATAATTCACAATCTGGTGTTGAATCAATTTTTGAGAAATTGAGAAAAGAACTTGTGAACTAACATCCCAGAATGTATTAATTGGTGCTTCTGGATTCCAGGCTTTGATTTTATCTGGATGATGTAACACCAACAACGCTTCCATTGCTTCGTGAGCAATGTCTGGCATTGTTGGTTGATGAACTAAGGAAACTAAACCATTAATTAATTCCAGTGTAGAACTTTGTATTTCGTGACCAGCTTTTCCTTGATTCTATAAAATGAAGTGAAAATTAATAATTGTAGGTATAAATTTTTTGGCTAAAACATTTAAGTACTTACATTTAACAATAACATAGGATCAGCATGAATAAGTTTTACCATCCATAAAAGTACATTTCTATAACTTGATACTTCTTCACCACGATCTCTGTACTTGTTTTGTTCTTTACCTTTGAGCGTTAAACTTTGAATCATTCGCAACGGTGTGTGTGATATGTAACTCTGCGTGACTTTATTTAAAATATCAGTAAAGATATTCCTAAGTTCTGCACTACGAGAATACAGAAGATCTATTTGAGGCCACCATGGCAGTCTTGGTTGAGTTACAATTCTACAATAAGAAATTGATCAGATGTTATCAAATAAAATAACTTGGATGCAAGTTATACATTCAATATAAATAATTTATATTTAATTACAATACAAATTTTCTCTTACTTGTATAACGAGCTAACCAAGACAAACTGGTACATTGATGGGACAGTCGGATTTAAGCAAACTTTAAGTACTTCGTTGTGAGGTTTAATGCGAAAACAGCTAACAAAACAGTCTATCATTAGGTCGATGTCTTGTGCAACGTAACTTTGTCCACGAGAAAATAATTTTCCTGGATTAAAAAGTAGTGCCATCAAATCGGTCATTACATGCTGAACAAGCATGAATATAACATTATTCGCATCCGAGTTGTTTACATAGGTCGATGCTTTGCAAAGTTTAATACAAGTTACTGCAGCAGCTTCTACTAGTTGCCTATTAGAACTGCCATGCATTCCTAGGCCTCGTTTCACACTATCGATAAATTGCTTTTTCTTTGAATGTCTTGGCGAACAAACAGCACCAAAATCAGCATTAACTATCTCCTCCAAAACTTTTGGTGAAAGTATCAAGAGCATAATTTGCAAAGGCCAAACAGCAGCAGTTCTTCCTTTTTTATTGTCTGCGAATGTATCAAGGATGTCAAATAATTCTTCGCATACTTTTCCGAGATCTTCATTAGGTTTCTTTTGAAGATCGGCAAATTCATGTGGATAAGTATCCATCCAATTCCAAATTGCTTTTTCCAAGGAGTTCATAAGAACTATGTGCGCAGATTTTTTGAGTTGTTTAAATTTTTGTATTGTTTCTGCAATAATAACGAGAATTATGGAGCACACCCTTATAAAATATAATTATTAAATTACTTCAGTTATTTAGAATTATCAAAAACATAGGACTTTAGGATATTTTATTAAGACAAAGAAATTACCATTTAAAAGTCTTGTTAATCTATAAACATCCACATTAATATGTTGAATTAATTCAATGTCACTGTAATCAGCATTTTCATCACCACATTTTGCTAGCTCTTGAAGTCTTGAAGATATTCTGTTAAACACGGCATTGAAAAAATTTAAGCTTAGCGCGAACAAAACTTTACTTGCCAAATTTCGTAAATGAGCATTTTGTGGAATATCATTTGGTATATCTGAAAGTTATTAACATTTAAAATATTTATGCAATGAAATTAGTACTAAATTGATAAAAATCTATATTAAAGTTTTTGGTACCTATAAACTGACATATTTCTTTAAGCAGAAATTTTACATTCATAGCCTCATCAAATTTAGCTGTGTCTTTTGGTTGATTCGCAAGACATTTTTCCAAAGTATCTAAGATGATGATTACAGATTCATAGCAATGCCGATCATGATCTGTGCTATGAAATATACGCTGACCCCCAATACATGGGACCATTTCATTAACACCTTGAAGTATCTTTGTAAGACTGGATATTACCAGAGAGAAACGATATTGAGATATTTGTATTAGGCATTTTTTGTTCCTCTCTTCGTTCATACGAGAGTGGGTGGTCTGAGGACCACTGTGACACGGCAACTGTAATATAAAAGAATCATAACTTTAATAATTTAATAAAATATTACTATAATCAGCTATCTTACTAAATTAATTATGTAATTAAAATAATTAGTTTATTAAAACATAGAAAACATAATAAACGAATAAATTACTTTTTTGCTACTTATAATTCAAATATAATTTTGAAATATAAATTTCAAATTTATATTATAGGCAGCTATTTTATAATTAAAATCAAAAATTACGATTACAGTGGGCAATTACTCTAAAGAAAAAAAGAAACAATCACGATTACGGTCGTGAATGAAGTTAGTTCACGGCTATGATCGTGATTTTGCGATCACTGTGATAAATCGCTGTTAGTGATTTTGCACGCCATCCCTGGTAATAATTTAGGAACTTGTACATACAATAGAAACCATTGACTTTTTATTCTTAATTATGAAGCAACAATTATCCTTATTTTAGCTTCCGTTACGGCATATCGAACAAGAGTAAATTTAATGATATTTACCATGAAACTCTAACGAATAAGAACATTAATGAAACACATTAAGATCCATTACACGTTGCATTTGTATACATGTATATTGACCGATCGAAGACCAAGTTTCAATGGCATATGCCTTTAACAAAACTCAAAAGTTACATACATGTACATGTAATCGCATTTGAACGCATTCAAGTGTATATACCATAGATTCGAATTCTTCGATAAGCCGTGCGTGAAGTGAATGCAATTTCCATTCATGTATCCGTGACACGACGGAAGCGACGTTGCGTGGGTACAGAGGGATTACGGGACGGGGAATGAAACTCTATAGGGTATCCCAATAACTCATCCCCAAACTTCATTTTTTTTCTGTTGAAAATATTTCATTACACGATAAATCATGAATATGTAATAACAAATACGATATTATACAATTTCTATATAATATCTGTTTAATTACAATCAACGATAATTTAATGAAACAAATAAACAAAATTGTTTCTCTTTCGTTACGACATCTTCGAATTTTCATAATAGTTAAAATATTTAAAAGATTTTTTAAATTAAAATTCTTTTGAAATTATTAGAACATGTAGAATTTGGGACACCCTATATACACCTTAACTGAATAGCTATCGGGATGGAGAGGAAAGGAAGAAGGGGCGAAGGTCAAACCGTGGACTCCACGGCGTGTAGAGGGAGGAGACCGCGAGAAAGCATCTTCCCATGAATGAACGAATCAACGAATAAACGAATGACGGTGTATTCACGGGAACAAATATATCAACCATTAATGATTACACCTGCAAAAAGTGGAAATAAAAAATGAAATTGACAGTGTTTGATTTAGAGCCATTGCGTCATTCCAAATTTTCAAATAGATCATGAAAAGTAAAACACAATGTTGCACTTCATTTTGATACCATTGATACGTAAAGTGTCGATTGTCTTAAACAGAAAATTACTATAGGATTCAGCATCGAAAATAACCGACTGCTGTCAAAGTTACGTATTCAACGTTCTCATGTCATCCGATTTTTTAATTTCTCCACACTTTAGGAACGTTCACGAATCAAAATGTAGCTTTTCACTAGTAAATACAGGAAGGGAGTGAGAAAGAATGAGAGAAAGCACCGGAAGAGGGTAGGTAAGAAAGAGAGGGGGCGGCTACGAAGAAGGAAGGCAGATGGAACAAGAAAGGAAAGGTAAAACAGCTGGGATGTACCTGTTCCTCGAAACGCGTGATCAGTAAATTCGCCCATTCTTCCGGCTTTTGCGTGCCCATCGCCGTCCGAGGTTCAGTAACGAGCCGTCATCACGTACGACGATTCACCAGTTCGCTACGAACACTCGACATCGGTACGTCGCCATTTACGAACGTCGACTGCCAATCGAGAAAGCGCCGCAACTGACTCGGTTTTTCTCTTCCGTTGGGGAGGGGCGCGGAGACAGAGCCCTCAAGAATTACAGCGGCCTTTAGGACGAAGATCTTCACAGATGGAACCGCTACCGACTGAAGCTGCCCAATATGTATTCAGTTCCATCTAGCCACTCTGCTTGTACACTGAAAAAATTAAAACACCCTTTCTGATAATAAAAAATAATTCTGATTTTTGTTTCAATAATCTTATCTTATATATATAAAGCGCAAAGACGTCCGTCCGTGTCACTTTTCAACTTGAGAACTACTAGGGTTAGAGATACGCTTTATACGTCGGGGTCTCTGACACCCCGGATGCCATAATGTCGGTATGCAGAATATCACCTGTGCTTCGGGGTCCCTAACACCCCAAGATGATTTTAGGTCGCTGCGTAGAGTCATCGGGATCCCTGACACCCCAAGATGATATTAGGTCGGTATACAGAAAGCACCACCGATACATCGTTAAATACATAGTACTTTTCGAAAGATATAATTTACAATAATTTTTATATTTTCCCACGCTTTTATGCATTTGAAATACTATTGATAAGTAAAACAAGACAATCGATAATACATCATAAAACATACACGGTGTACAATTTATTTGTTCATTATTTACTTACCAAATTATATGTATAGGTAGAATCACAGTATTTTATTTCCTTTAATAATATCAAAATGTAACAAGTGATGTTAACAATTTGTTATTTAAAAATTCTTATACTTTATGTGTCCGCAGTTCATATTAATTTAAATGTAGTATGTATACCGCAGTTCACCAGAGTCCATAACTGCGAAAAGACCAGTTTTCGTTCTTCGCGCTTCTCCAGTGCGCATCTTCGCCCTGATTGGCGATACTCCCAAACGAAGTAGAAAGCGATTAGCGGAGAGCTCACTGCGTTCCCCCACCACCTTCCAACCTGCGCGTCGCAGTTATGGACTCTGGTGAACTGCGGTATACATATAACAAATTTATTAAGTTGCTATTAAATTATTCAATTAATTTCATTTCTTAATACAGAATGTTTCTAAAAGTGTCAAATATAGAATCGTCACATAGTAAAAATTTGTTAAAATTAATTTAAGTATTAACTGCTACTGCAGTGATTGAGTTTCGGATGACAATTGATTTTTAATTGTAAGTTCTTCTTCAAGAACGGAAATCACTGAATTTAAGACGTTGGTATCTCGTTGGCAGTGTTTTTCGATACAGTGAAGATTTTTTGGATCTAAATCTGAAATTCCGATATTACAAACGAAGCTGAGTCCATCGGAAAGTTGTAATACATTTCCATCAGAGACAAACGATACTGAATCCCTGAAAAAGGAAGATAATTAGTATATAATAAACTCAACTCAACTCAAAATTCAAATCTTAAAACAAAAATAAAACATCTCAACTTTTACTAATTAAGCATCAAATTACTAAACAAACTTTTGATAACTTACGGATTTAATTCTCGAAATGCTATTAATATTGAGCAATCTCTGGCACATGAAAACAGAAGATAATTCTGTAAGCATAATATACTTTCAGTGTTTATTAAATCTGTTTCTTTTTCATTATTACAATGTTTATTTTCCTCATTATATATTACGCTAAATTTATTATAGATTAGGTTATTCTTCTTGCAATAAATTGGAGGTAAACTTGATTTTGATACAAGACGAACATTTTCATCAGGTTTTTTATCCCTAAACTGAATTAATTTGTTGCCATTGTTGTCGTCATCAAATTTTGATTCATTTGAAACTGAAGCATTTTTGGCACGTATTTTCAGTGTTTCTAAATTCTCCGTTACAGTATTCTGAAAAATATAAACAAATTAGTAAGATACTAGGTGATTTAAAATATTTACTTACTTTCTGATTGTAAAAGTATATCCAATGCTCATCAGGTTTATGTACATTTAATAAATTAAAATATAGTATATCATTGGTTATTAATGAACAAAATTTAACGTATGTATTATAAACAAATTCTGAACTAACAAATGGTAATCTTTGCATACAAAGAATTCGTTCCAGGACCGAATCAGTTGGCAGTGTTACGCCCTTCGTATTGCAGGCCTGTAAAATTTTATTACTTTAATACCATAAATATAATAATTCGCAGTTTACACGTAACTTGTGTTAATTTACTATACAATATACAGACAGAATTTTACTTATTTTACAAATTTTACAAATTTACCTCCCCGGTGAAATACAAAAGTTTCTTAGCTTTTGCAACTATATCTGAATTAATATGCAAGGTTGACTTCAAGTCTTGTTCATAAGAGGAATATAGTTCGTACACAGTAGAGTTTAATCTCAGTTCTTCCGAACGAAATGAATGTAAGAGAGCAGTGCAAAGTAAATTACACAATTTGTTGATATATTCTTTGTTCGTATCTGCTGTAGAATTTTGAAAGCATTCTTTCAAAACACCTTCAAGGTTGTTCAAAGATGATTCTTGATCATAAACAATAATGCCATCCTTAAAAATCTTTAAATTGTTTTGTGGTGATTTCAATAATCCTTCCAGTGCAGATTTCATGCGTTCCTCAACTCCAGAAAAGAGATCAAATGGGCAATAAGTACTACGAGCTGCGATGACCTTCTTTTTGAGCTGAAATTAATAAAAATTAATGAAAATTGTATTCGACTAATACATTTTTTTAGAAATATAAAATTGCTCTATAAAGAAATGAATCAGACTTATGTGTATACAATACCTTATGATACTGTGTTAGACAATAAGGGCATTTTTGAAACTTCCAATCATCTCTTAAATATCCCTGTTTTGGTTTAATTTCAACGCAGAACGTTTGCTTGCTTCGGAATAGTTTAGGATCAACTTTTGTTTGAAGAAACGTGTAATCTGGAAACTTTGTGGCATACGTCTCGCTGATTTCTTTGTGGCAACGTTTATCTGAAAACAAAGAAATTGTTGTTAGTGAAAAGTTTCGCTTAATTAACATGTTTCATTCTAAATAGAATTGGATTAAAATTTTTGGGGCCCGGGGTAATCTAATATTCGAGAACCCCATTGATTCATAAACTTAGATCAAAAATTAAAATTTATTTAAATAAAATAAATTAACGTTTATTCCTAAAGAAAAAGGCTTATAACAGGGCTTCCTGTAGCCTTCAGTAACCTATTGTACCAGCGTAAAGTTAATTCGTTGGAACAGTTTGTTTTTAAGTACATATTGCAAGGTACACGAGTGAAAGGAAGTATAATTAGCATTTTTCCAGTAACCCTTTGAATCAACCGAGCATACATCCTGTAACCCTCGTACTGTCTTCTTGACGTGAGTAATTAATTCCTTATCTCTTCAAGTGCATAAAACGAATTCCTGACAAAAACTGTCTGACGTTTGCGATTGTCAGTTGGATAAAGCACAAAAGTACCACTTCGATGCACAAGATGTACAGCTTATGCATTTTTACACTGCCACTTCGGCTACTCATTATTCCGGTTTATTTTTTAATAGGTGCATAAAAGTGACTTATGATTCATACCGAAACGTTATTTCTCGATATTATCAGGTCATAAATTTTCTATGCAAGTTTCTATGCAAATTAGCAATATAAATTAATTTTCTTATTAATATTCCTATAATATTTACAATCACTAAGAAAAATTTGAAACAAGCTGACAATTTAGTCGTTCATGTTTCACTACATTGTGCTTCGATAAAATGGTTATTAGAAGATGTAGAAAGTTTCAAATTTCTTTATTCTTGTCTATCAGAGCTTCTTAAGAAAATAATGGAGAGCTCATATAACAATTGTTCGAGAAATCCTCTATAGAACCGGTAAAGCGGCTGAATATCACGTGAAAGTCTCAGTATCAATGTACGGCTAGCAGGACAAAGAACCTAATATCTTACAGGTCAAATGAGTTTTTCCTGGATCATTGTTAGTTATGATTTTATTTTACCGAATAAAATTTACCCATTTTGAATATTAGTATTTTTAGAAAAAGAATTTAATTTTTAATTATTAAATATAAAATTTGGTATATAATTAGAGAATATGGATAATAAAATAAATATCAGTTGAAATTTTCCCACGTAAACTAAGAAAGTACTTATCAGTGTCACCAATAATATATTGTTTATCCGATTATTGTATTATCCCTAACATATAATTACCACATTAAGGACACTTGACTCAATTACCGTATCAACTAGTGTGAGAATACAAACTCTCGTAAGAAGATATGACTTAAGAAACGTGATTATGACCGACCGGAAAACCATCATTTACGACATTAATTATCGTTAAACACTGATCATTATTTATTGCGGGTTCGTGTTATGTCTCGTTAATTGGTGTTTCAAGCAACCCACAAATAAGATGGAATACTATCGAAAAACGAAGTCCAGATAAAGTCCGTGTTGCTCATTAACAGCTACCTATTCGGGCTTCCTGTGTAACTTGTTTTCCTCGTAATTCGAGCGAATGGTTTCCATTCTCCACGAACGGTTTCTCGTATCGTTCTAATTTCTTCCTGTTTCTTACGCGTCGTACAATGGTCCAGAAATGAAATTTAGCTGTTCAGACTTCGAAACGGACAGAATAGTCCGGAATTTTTGAAGTAACGAGATTTATTATCTTACATCGTGGCTACGTTATAATTAATTATCGAAAATATTTTAACGACGACTTGACGAATGCAGGCAATTAATTACTTCGAGAAAGGGAATAGACCGCGAGAAAACGATCTTTAAGTGACCTCGTCTGGCGAACGAGGTGTGACTCAATAGGCCGTGCATCAGCTTTCCTGAAGGAGATCTCGACGGATGTTGCCCTGGGGTCGTGCCCTTTTCGTAGGTGTGACCGATCGTATGTGTGCTTCTCCATAGAACGTGCGAACATCTTTATGGAGGCATGAACGCGCCCGATGGCTCTAATGTTTTTCGATAGTGTCTGTCGACGTTGTCATTCTCTACGAAATAAATGAAAAATTCAAATAATTTCATTGTTTTTCGTGCTATAGCATTATCTAGAAAGAAACATTTTTATAAAATTTATTTTATCTATACATTTATATATAGATGCAAATTTATATTTGACAGACATTTTACATTTGAAGATAGACCATTTCATATGGTACATTCAAATTACTCAGAATCTATGTTCACATCTGGTTGATTTGAAGCAAAACGATCGAGGCAGATTAATTCTAAGAGAAGTGAACATTTTGATAATTAATAAAACGGGGTTATATGTAACCGAAGTGTAGAAGACAGCTTCAAACGCAGATGTCTATCGATGGGCTTATTGTTCGTGAAAACGACAGATGTACAATTTTAGGTGAAAGTCCCAAGTCTCGTTCCATCAATTTTTGTCGAGCCACTTGAATAATACCACCCCTTTTTCCGGCGCGTACACCTGCCTCTTGCACCTTTCCTCTTCGAAGAAAAATGCAAGGTTTATATACCCGTGAAGACCTTTCGGTACCTGCTGCTTCTCGCACCGATGAAATCTCAGCCGATTTTAGCTTCGTCAGCGAAATTCAAATATTTCGTGAAATCTGATTAAGGGGGAGAAATTTTAGCCGTAAGAAATTAAATTAAAAAATTTAGAGAATAAAGATTAAGGGGGAGGAATTTTAGCCGTAAGAAATTAAATTAAAAAATTTAGGGAATAAAAATTAAGGGGGAGGAATTTTAGCCGTAAGAAATTAAATTAAAAAATTTAGAGAATAAAGATTAAGGGGGAGGAATTTTAGCCGTAAGAAATTAAATTAAAAAATTTAGGGAATAAAAATTAAGGGGGGAGAATTTTAGCCGTAAGAAATTAAATTAAAAAATTTAGGGAATAAAGATTAAGGGGGAGAAATTTTAGCCGTAAGAAATTAAATTAAAAAATTTAGGGAATAAAAATTAAGGGGGAGGAATTTTAGCCGTAAGAAATTAAATTAAAAAATTTAGAGAATAAAAATTAAGGGGGAAGAATTTTAGCCGTAAGAAATTAAATAAAAAAATTCTGAGATTCTTAAACTCTAAAATTCCAAAATATCGTTTACAAGAAAATTTCAAAAAGACAAAAACAGTACGAATTTTACCCGCGAATATTATACGTTTTTACCTGGTCGTAGTGGTCGTATGGCTTCTGATAATCTGACGATGTCTTTCATATCGTAACGAAGTATCTCAGGGATTTGCGTGTACGGGCCCAAAAAGCAGGAAGCCACGAATCTCACGAATTTCACTTCTCGTTCGACTCGTTGTTTACCGCCATCCGGTGAAACATCGTCCGGCACCGACTTCCGGAATCGAATTACTTTACGCTCCTGAAACGTAGGGGCAAAAGCGTGACGAAAGGGCCATGTAAATCGAATCACATTTCAAATTTGTATCAACTATATATTTTATTACAATTTTTCAACCTTTTCTTTAGGATTTTTCATTTTTTCAAAAATTGTAAAACTATATTAATATAGATTTTAAAATTTTATTAAAATTTTTCAACCTTTTCTTAAAGATTTTTCATTTTTTCAAAAATTGTAAAACTATATTAATATAGATTTTAAAATTTTATTAAAATTTTTCAACCTTTTCTTTAGGATTTTTCATTTTTTCAAAAATTGTAAAACTATATTAATATAGATTTTTAAAAAATGATCTACATTTGTTTCTCCTCTAACGATAAGGAAACGATGAAAATAAGTTAAGCTTGATTATGAATGGAGGGAAACTAAAAAAATTCTGACGTCGTAGTCTTCGTCAACAAAATTGAAATTAGGTCGACACGAGGCATTTCATATCGCGGCAAACCACAATTTCCATTGCGCAGCAAGCTTCAATTACTATCAGTGAATTGCCTGAATGACGTGGCACTAATTACTAGTATATACGTCGTATTTCGCTGAGAAATCAGCCTTATCATTAATGAGTTTGATCGCTTTAAAAAGAAAATAATCGTTTGATCGATGCTCGCTCACGGCGATCCCTCATTAATGTCTAAAACATTACCATTACGATGAAGTCAAATTATCTTTATATTACATCTGATAGTACAAACTGACTACAAACTACAAAAAAAAACAAGAGATACTTTTTTGCTGGAACAGTAATGGAAGTAACCGCTGTTTTAAATTAATAAAAATTCAATGCATTATTAATAATTCCAAGTAAAACATTGAATTATGTTTAAACACTGGCGTCATTATGAAGAAGTCAGGGTGGATTCGAAAATGTCGACATAGCAAAAAACATTGTAGAAGTCTAAGATTTTAAGTATTTGCAATTCTAAAATTTTGAAATTTAAATATTCCAAAATTCCAAGATTCTAAAGAATCTTAATTTTAAAATAGCGAATGTAGGTAAGCAATGTCAATAGATTCGAATAAAAATTAGTATTGGAACATATAATTTCGTGGTATCCATGTGAACTTTTTCAGGTGTTTGCCGTCTTTTATAAACGTTCAATCAATATATTGACTATTCTCGTTTGCCGGCTGACGTGGTTTGTACAAAAGTTCCTTCTGCGTCACTCTTTTGTTCTAAGTACCTACTTACCTAGGGAACTAATGTTTTTTAACTTATTAAAATGGACGCAACATTTTGCTGTGCATTTGATACAAATGCCTCTTGCTTACACGCATTAACACGGTACGACTCGATTATCCTTGATCACGTTGACTGTACAGTCTTGGTACGAAAGATTTTCATATTATAAGCATTATAAGTAAATACAGTAGCCGCTCGATAATTCCTCCCGCGTGTATTCCATTCGTGACGTACCTTGCTGATCAACAGAATTGAGTAATGTGCTGTAGTATAACGACCACTGTAGTTTAGAGTTAGTGTAGTTTGCACTGTATTAGCATATTTCAAAAGAATTATGAAATATATCTTCTGCGATCATGTTTAAATTAAAGAAAAAACTAAATGTACCATATGTACCAGTAATTATGAACCGATTAATGTATCTTATTATACATACATGTACATTTGTACGTACTGTTGCAAATGACTTATTGATTCTCCTATTTAAAATTTAAAAATCTCTTGTTCTTATTAGCGAACGTTTTAATTAACATATTATTATTCCAATCGGTTTTTCTGATAGTTTCTGCGATTCTGAAAAGTAAAGCTCATCCATCGATCATTTACCAGCTGAGTCTCCCACTAACAGACCATTACCCCTTCCAACAATCAGGAGGTCAACGGCCATCATATTTTTTGTCCTGCTCACTCTTTATATACTTTTCTCCGTTTGGGTCACGTGTGCGCAGAACATGTGCGCACTGACGCAAATGAGAGCTCTCATAGTCAGTGTATCTTCGATCGTCGGTTAGTCTTCTTACCTTTTGACACGTTCTGTACTAGAATCTTTTTTCGTTTTCCCTCTCTATCAATATATATATATATAGAAATTACAGTACGATCTCCGTCAGTATTTCAGAAGGTCGTAAATCAAATTATTAACAATCTGTTGAGGTCGCACGAGTGTTCAGAAGGACGTCCATTGAACAAAATCTTTGCGTGTGTGCTGCATACATGTTACGCTCATATATTATCTATTTTATCGTATTGTATGTCAGTTTAAATCAACGTAGGTATAGACAATACACAAGCATTACAATAGCACCCACGCAAAGATTTCAGTTGATGGCCGTCATTTTAACACGTTGTAACCGAAGGCCGTAGATTTATGCTGTATGAAACAAAATGTAAGGCCTAACAACGTAGATTTAGTTCCTTAGATATACATATTTTACAATTTAAGGAATAGCCAATTTTGCTCGATACTGTACACCAAATTGCTAAATAAATATTCATATTTACCATAATTAGAGTTCCTACACAATCTTAAGTCTACATTTTGATATGTCAGCACGTGACATCAGGTGATAACGAGTTTGCTTTTCGGTTTAAAAACAATAAGCAAATATATTTTCATTTTACAATCATTGACTCATAACAGTTTATGCTTATCTTCGAATCTATGTACGTGGAAAAGAACAGAAATAGTTCATAGAATTTCCAATATCCTTTCTACCTAATTGTTGATGAAATTTTAGAATACTAACGAACTGACTCATGGTAGTTAAAATGTAACGTCGTAGTGGTGAGTCACCTGTTCATCAGTATGCGATGAAAATATGTGACTTTATCGTTTTTCTAATCGAAGAAATCTTTTAACTTTCTATTGCATTAGTGTTACTTAACCACCATACGACGAGCCATGAAGAAAGCCCCAATTTTAACTTAATTTTATATCTTATTTTCTAAAAATTATACACTTAACTTTAGGTTAATATATTTGTATATGTTCTGTAAGTTTGGGTCTTGATTGACTCAGGTTTCATAAAAATATTTCATTGAATTCTTTTAAGTCTAAACATTTTTAATTCAGATTTATTAATTTAGTATTGAAATAGTATAAATTTGGAAATGCAGTAGATACTGAAACTTTTGAGCAGTAGTGTACATTTAAAAAAAGAAGAAAAGAAAATAGAATAATATTTGTGAACTTACTTGAGGCAGTGCAATAACAACATTAGCATTCCCTTCGCCTCTGTAAACACAATCCTCGACGGAAAATGTGGTCAGGGGAAGGGAAGTCTCTGGAATTGTCGGCGATTCGTCGTCCGAACTTCCGGTGGAAGCGGTCATCGGTTCTGGAGAAAACCTACTGCTCCCCACAGGATTTCCTTCGCTGATTCTCATTGTTCTACCCTCGTCCCTGTGCGAAAACAGATAGAGAAACTTAAGTAGAACTTGCATACACAATTTATCTTTGCGTTAATTAACTTGATGACCCATAATTATCATGATCAAATAAAAATGCTAATATACAGTTGAAATATTCATTCTAAAATGAATGGAAAGCCTTTGTATTAATTTCTTAGAAACATCTAGTATACCTACATTTTATCACTAAATTGGAGTTAAGAATCATAATTATGATTTAGGTAATTAGAACCTTTCTCTGGGGTGGGGTAGGTCCATTAAATTTTGAAATTGGAATTTTAGAATTTTAGAATTTTAGAATTTTAGAATTTTAGAACGTTAGAATTTTAGAACTTTAGAACTTTAGAATTTTAGAATTTTAGAATTTTAGAATTTTACAATTTTAGAACGTTAGAATTTTAGAATTTTAGAATTTTAGAATTTTAGAATTTTAGAATTTTAGAATTTTGGAATTGCATAATTGTAGAGTCGCAGAATTATGAAAGTTAATGACGTTTTAAATGTACATGTAGACTGGGCGAGCGTTCACGAACGAATGCGAAGATTACCGAACGGACATTTCAATTGGTTGTACCATTTCGTCTCTCTCTAAAAGTAATTCTTTCTCAGAGTGTCGCCTCTTATTATGTATACCTACACTTTGGCGTTACTACGAATACGTATAGCGTTGGACAGGAAACGATGAGTCATAGAAGTGAAGTCAGTTAAGTTGGTAATAAAAAGGTCCGTGAACCATAGCCGTCAACTTTCGAAATCTCTAATGACGGTGCTCGTACGCAAACCTACTACGTAAACGACGATAAAACGCAAAAACATGTTGATTCAACAATTTCGTAAAAAAGCACATTTCGTATGATTCAATTCTCGAGTACATATCCATAAAAGAAGGAAAACAGAAAAAGTGTTTTTTTCTTCTGCAATGAATCATTTCCTTCTTCCTCGAAGAATCTTTATTTAAAACATTTACCAAATAAAAATGGTTTCTAATCAAATTGTAACTTTAAAGTGAAATATAACGTACAAAACCGAGCACAGAAGGCAATTTTATTAAATTAATTTTAATATCAATACCTTCAAAATTAGAATTTTTTAATTATTCATATAGTATTGAAATTTTTTATAATTTTTATTTGTAGATAAAACTCAGTCACTCTTTGGTCGTAAGCTAGAAAACTCAGAAACGTCAATGCTCGAGCGATAATCTCGTTACAAGGCTAGTTATCTCGTTATACAGTTGGTAAAGCTTGTGCGGGGGTGTATAGTAGTCGCAGAAATATAGCGTGGCCGTTAATCTAATCGATTTGTGGAATCACGTGTTTCGCTGACGTTTAACTGTTGCCAAAAATAATTCATTCAGTACTATACCGATTTGGAATTAATGCAACATATTGGAAAAATAGTGTGTAATGTATAATTTGCAAAAGAAATTTTCGAAACAAATTCTTTCTAATATCAGAACATTAGAATACTAGAATTTAAAAATCTATTACATTTTCGACCTACGGAAATTAATAGGTTAATGACCGCGCTATATTTCTGTGACTACTATACAATTACGTCTAGTAGTGTGGCAAAGGTGACACGAGCTACGTATGCACGTGTACGCAATTGCTCCAACGTACACGTGAACATGTACTGCCGCAACTATTTGCATCACGTTCATGCGAGCATCGTGAACTCTTATGCGTATACGTAAGCGAACCGTTTTACGATACATCATGTAACGATTCATACCCAAGTTGTCCTATCTCAATATTTTTTCTCGGTTTAGTCACAGGGTGCACGGTTATCATTAAAGATAGGATTATCATTTAATTACGATCTTTAATTCAATTATATTTTCTCAAAAGTTATTAGTAAGAAATAAAATTATTGGCATCATTCAGAATTGGATAGAAATGTGTAAGATAAATGGACAAAATTATAACCTATCTATTTAGAGATGTACAGATAATAAATAATAAATTCTATAATAATTCCAGAATGATTCTAAAATAATTCTAGATGGAGTAATAAAATAAGGAAAAAAATAACGTACCGTTTTATGCTTTTTGGTCAAGTCTAAAGTTAAATGCAACCGAACTTACTTGCTAAGCGGGTGTTTCAGAGAACGGCAACGTTGCCACGGTGGAACCGTCTTATCCATTTTCGCGTAAGGTTAACGACCGGCGGGTTTGCGAAACTCGGCAAGTTGCAACCCACCATCGTCTGCTGGAAGAGTGCATATAGCGCCGTACATCGTGCTCGTAGGGACACATGACGTATTCGCGCAATTGGAAATGGCGTGTTCGCATCAGCGAACCGAAAACGTGCAGGGACACTACGACTGGGGTGCACGTAACGCTTAAAGAACTTGGAAATTTCCGTGACTTGGTTACCAAAACGGACTTGCATCCTTTTTGCTTGCATAGCTATTAGACATGGGATTTAAGTACACTCCCGACCAATGATCCGAAGTCGTAGGATCTTTTTTCACTAGGAGCATCTACGAAATAAACGTGTATTTTACGTGACTTCTTACAAATAAAATTTCCTTCTTAATTAATTATAAACTTTTAATAATTAATTCTTAATTCAAAATGGCTTCCGAGAATCACCATTGAAATAAATCATATCAGACGTTTTGCGTTTTGAAATTCAACATTTGATACGCAACAGTCTAGTATTTAAATATCCGCTTTCCCTGATAAAAGTCAGTGCAATATAACACAACCGTGGAAAATTAACATTTTTCTTTGTTTAAACAGCTAATCGTATGATCGCAATTACAAAACTCAATCAGATCTACGAGCCGTGAAAAGAATTTACATTTTTATTGTTAATTTTCCGTATTTTATTTGTAGTAAGAACGAGATAAATGCTGATAATCTTTGTAACATACGCTTACTCTTTGTTTCCCAAGGAACGTGTTATCTTTAGCTGGTTAATGCAACACTGATAGCAGATTAACGCGCGTAACACCAGCAGACCTCTTTGTTAAGAGTTATCGTCCCGGTGTGCGATCAACACAGTTTCTAAGCTCCTCGATCGTTCAGGTCTCGGGATATACTAACGTGTTGGCCTTGATTGTTTCAAAAAATGGCTTTTGATTAAATATATGGATTCATCTCTTCTGATCGATTGCAAGGCAAAAAGGAGTAGACTTTCCTTTCTTCTTTTGCTCTGATTATCAAATTATCAGTCTGTTTCGTTTTAATTCTCAGATGGCGGACCATGGAGAGAGCCTTAATTTCATTTCAAACTCCGCTGTTCAAGGATTAAAATAGATAAAAACAGCAATTGGATACTCTTCGAATTTTAAAGATATTAAATATTATTATCTTTTGAATTCCTTCGAATTACATTATTGGAAAGAAATTTATCATCCAGAGCTGAGAGAAACGTGACAGTGTGACTCGTGGGACAAATATCGAAACCATTTGATACCACGATAACAGAATTTACGTAATAAATTGCGTAACCCCAAGGAAACCTATCATTACATTCGGTTTGCAATATAAATTACGTAACTTTTACTTTTCAATATGTTTCTCGATGAACTGGCTCCAGTTTAAGTGACGCAACGCCGAATTGTAAATGGTACCTGTATAGAAATCTTTGCTTTTCTTATACATTTTCTTTATTGAAATGTTTCGTGGTGGCTCAATAGCAACTTTTGTTATATTTCAAATTTTTAATTGATGTATCAAATCAAATCAGGTTTGTGTACTACTATATTTTACTAATTAATGATTGCTTCCAATATATTAACAAAAGATTACTTGTTTAATACTGTCGGCGGACCATGGAGAGAGCCATAGTTTTAATTAAATTTTCTATTTCCACTCTTCAAGACTTAACAAAAGATACAACTGTTTTCAAACTTTTGAATGGTAGTGCATTGATGTCAATCATTGATTCACTATAAGTTATGAATTGATGTTATTGTTAGCGTGGAATCTTTGAGAAGCGACAGATGTTACAGGACATTGTCGCAGAGAATCTGCTTCTCAACTTTGTTGGCACAAAAGGTGCTCGTTCATTGAAATGTAGCTTGGTTTCCAGTGTTCACCGACTGGTGTTCCACTGTCATGAACAGCAAACATTTCCATTTGCAAAATTCTAAAATTTTGTCTTTTTGAAACTCTAGAATTTTCTAATTCTGAAATTAAAAAATTCTATTTTGAATTTTAGTACCTTAGAATTTTGGTAATCTGAAATTTAGAAATTCTGAGATTTTGTAATTTTGTAACTGTAATTAAAAAATTCGAATATTCTAAAATTGTAGAATTTTAGTATCTCAGATACTGGGAAATATGGAAAAAGAAATACGGAAGAAATGTGGCTTGGTTTCCAGTGTGCACCGACCGTGTCCCACTATTATGAACAGCAAACATTTCCATTTGCGAAACTATCATGCATTGTATTCGCGACGAGAGTACACTAGGCGACGTTAATTTCTGCTCATTAAAAATAAGTAGTTCGGGCTACGATTAATTGGCGTATCGCGGATGTTTCCTGGCATTTCTATGCAGTTGTCGTTCCTGAAACGGTTCAAGCCACAAACGAAGGTCAATTGGATACTCTGCAATTGTTCGCATACGGTACATAAACGAAGAAACCCGCTTCGACGTGTAAACAGGACGTAAAATGTTTCAATTGTGCTAACAATTTCTTATTCTGATTCCATCATAAATGAAGTAATTTCAGCAGACACAAATCTGTGCCAATTTTTATACCTTCTCAAAACACCTCGAGTCATTTCGTCCAATTTTAATTTCTGATATTTTGTTTTAAACAGTGTCCACTTATTTACGTCCCTGACTCTATCTGTGTCAGTTGCAAAATTGATTTTTGTCATGCTAGATTGCTGAAACGGCACAATGTATGAAGAGGTAGCGATTAAAAGCTGTTGCGAGAAACGAAGTTCGGGAGCAGTCCTTGTAAGGAATAAAGGGAGCAGTAACCGTGCGGGCCAAGCGGTATCAGGGGGCCAGGGCAACAACCGAGGCTGACCTCTACGACAAGCATCGGTCGCCTCCTCCTTCTCTTCCACCACCTTCATCTCTTTTCTCTTCTAACCTCTCTCCATCACACTTAACAGCTCCTTTTCCTCGACGGCACAATAATTCGTCATTTCCATCATCGAACCTTTCCTGTTCGCCAGACCATCATCTTGTATTTGTCCCACATCGTCGTGGCCCGAACCATGAAATCTTATCTTAACAACGCTCTTGAACGATTCGCTGAACCGTGCGCCTTCGTTTCTTATTCACCAAGTTTAACCTCTTCCGTCGTGAATTAATTTCAGGCGAAAGAATAAAAAAGAAGAGGATACCGTGATACGCTCTTGCCGTTCCTATCCGCATCGATCTTCTTGTTCGCGCCATTTTGGTTGCTCCTCGTGTAGGCTAACACTCGCAGTGACGGGCGAAAGTTGAATCAACGATTAACGATTAAATTCCTATTATGATTATATCTATATGCCCAGGGCCCAAAAAACTATAGGCGCGGCCCTGTCTACAACGATGCATCGTGTAAAATTGGGCATTCAAATTTTCGAAAGAAAATTAATGTAAAGAAACGGTATGGAATTTAAAAAATGAGGATAAAAATGAATTTGGAGTTAAATTTAAATTCTAGGGTTAAGTATCTGAAACACGTATCAACAGGATCATGATCCTAAATTTATAAGAAACATAGTTCGTGAATGGATTTTATACGAGATGGGTCACTTAAAACAAGTTTAGTAATTTGTTTGCATAGAGACTTGCATATTTAATCACCACGGATCCGTCTAGTTATAAACGGGAATACATTTTTTCGCCTAGATAACGTTTAATGTCCGATCGATGCACTCTCCTTTCGAGGTGAATCGAGACTGGTCTTCAACTTGAAAGCTCGGCTTCGACTGGAAAAATATCGTATCGAACGGTAGCCATTGGCGTAAATGAACTTTTTTACCTAGAGTCCAAGATTTGGATTCTAGAATTTTAGAATATTGGAAGTTTGCAATTTTGAAGATTTGGATTCTAGAATTTTAGAATATTGAAAATCTGCAATTTTGAAGATTTGGATTTTTTTTTAAATTTCGTAATTTTTAAATTTTAGAATTGTAGGGTTTTGGAATTTTGGAATTCTAGAATTTCTCAATTCTTAAACCTCAGAATTTTGAAATGGTAAGAGGACAGTTCACATTATTCAGAAAGCCAGTCTCACACTACTCGCTCTTTAGTTACGCCAATGATGGTAAGACTCGATACCCTTTCTCCTAGCAGTAGCAGGCATCGGTCATGGCAATAAGTATCGTTACCGTGGAACCAGTTCAACTCGCTCCATTTATCGATCATCGACGATTAGCCAGTCGACCAAGTATCTAATGCCTGTTAACTTCGCGGCCAATTCTCAATACATACATTCATTAGCATGTGTATTCGTTCCGTGATCCCCCCGCAAACGTGCCTTTGATAACGGATAACCACGTTCGCGATCGAACAAAGCAAAAACTCGTTGATCAAAACGAGATTCCGCACGGACATGATTCGAGTATCGATAGAAAGCAATGACTAGAACGCTTGACTTAATGTAACACTGAAAGCCGTTATTTGAAAACTTGACGAGGAATCGACAAACAGTGTACGATACCTGTCAAAGAAATCCATATTATTAACAATATGGAAGACATAAAATATTTTAGGTGAACTTGAAAAAACGATCCTCGTACGAAATATACGAAAAGTGGATCACCTGAACAACAGAAGATTACAAGTATTGTTCATCGATGACAAGAAATCTCGCGAGACGGCACAGGAACAAGATGGGATACTACGCATGCGTCGACTGGTCCCCTACTTCTATACGAGCCGGATTAGTACATGTGACCGCTTCGACCAATCATAGGTTACGACCGAAAGTACGCGACCAATCAGATTGTATATTACATTCGGCGTCCACCGATACTAGCCGATAGAAAAGATCAAGGTAGGCTGTTAAACCTGATACACCCGCGATCAAATCAGGCTTCCCCATGAAAAATGGTGGTGTAAGACAATTATTATGGTTGCGCCACGTGATTATATGTAAGAATCTAATAAAAACAAAGCAATTGATTATTTCATGATATATTTAACTAATCTTTTATTTTCCACAGATTCAATTGTACTTAAAAAACATTTTCTAAATACATTTCGCTATTTTTTATACTCTTTACGCAAACGTAGCAGAAAGGAATTATAATTTTTTAATACATTATGCAATGAAAGTTCTATTGATACTTCCAACTACACTAATAAATCGTATCAATTAGTGTTCTTTATGAACTAAAGAAGAATAAACTCATATTGATAGCTTTAATCCTACCATTTTGTATGAGAAATCTTCGTTTCTTTTATTATTTTTGATAATTATAAATTATCAAATACAATGAATTTCTTGTACTGTTTTAGTGCAATGAAACTGGTAAAATTGAACCAAAAGATTTTATTTTTATATTTTAAATGAATAATAACTATAAGAATTCGTATTTATCATTAATAAGAGGTATTAATCAGTTATATTTAGCTATTTATACAAAACCTTCAATTCCTTGAAATTTTCATCAATGTCTCAATGTTACTAATTTTATTGTTATTAATAATTATTGAGATCAAATCCTTACTATTTAAATTAATACATTAAACTTCATAGACTAATATTTATTGCAAGAATAATCACAAAATTTACTTTAAATTTTTTACAAAATGGACTGATTACATTGCACTTTCGTTACATGAATTTTGACAACGAAGATTCCTTTTCTTTCTAATTTAGTTTCTTTTAATATCTTATTTGACACTGTTGTTTGAGAGAACGCAATACTGGTACGCAATACGAATATAAAAAAAAGGAGATGGTATTTAGGATTTCGGACGTATAAAATCAGGAATCACATGACACGATTATTTTGTATTCATGAAATTTCATAAGCACGAGGCCTTTTTGTTTTTATTATTTCTGTACAAAAAAAGTCGAAAAAATTATAGATTTTTCTTTCGATAAAGTTTGAATTTTTTCGAGCTCACGGCATATATACAAGCGGGAAATGATAGACATAGTAACCTATAAACTAAATATAATTATACATTGATATAATAGATATAATAATTATAATCCATAATAATTAATAGTAAACCTACAGTCTACAGATTCGAGAGTGTATGTTCTATGTTTTCTCATGTCTGGTCTATGTATCTTCGTCAATTTGTTGTTTGTGTCTGTGTGTGTGCAATGTGTTTTTGTACGTGTATACATCGATAAAATCAATTTCATTTATGATACAAAATTCCAATGAAAATTAACCCCTCAATGATCGAGAATTCTTCAACCCTCCGCCGGCGGACCATGGAGAAAGCCCCAATATTCTGTACTGACTTAGGACTCCGATGTTCAATATTTATTGTAAATGATTCAATTTTGCTCTTTTTGTTTTTTCACCAAATAAATCTTGCAAATGTTTATTATCACTTCTGAAAAATTATCAATTCCAATAAAGGGTTAATTTGCCATGTGTACGTGTATACGTGTATGAACGAATGTTATATCTTGTGCACTATCCAACAGGGTCGCCGAATTCGGATCTCGATGACCTTGGGTCAGTGTATTCATTTTTATCTCTCTAGCTCGACTGCGTATTAAAATCACTACAATAATTCGGCATCACAATAATATTACCACGATGGGACCCACGGCCTTAAATATACCCGAGTCGAGCACCCCTGCCGGGTCTCTCACGCTCTCTTCCTGTCCATCCCTCTGTTTCTTTATTTATCTTTTGTTTCTTCACCCTCATCATCTCTCTCTCCCATACTCTCTATCATCTCGCTTACACGCTCACGGAAAAATTCCTTATTTTTTTTTTCTTCTATTTTTCTTCATCATCGAAAAATCATACCCTCCTTTCTCGTGCATTCTCCTTCCTGGTGTCCCAACAAGAATAATAATGTTCACGGAAAAGAAAGACACACGGCATGTACGCTTAAATGTTTACGATTCGTCTACAAATTTCAAACTCTCTTACGTTCTCATTTTTACGATCGAAAGCGGAGGGAACACACGCGCCCTATGGAAAATGCCAACGGAAGTAACTATCCCGTAAAAATTTGTACAAATTCAACTTGCAATTTCATTATCGTAATTAGACATTTTTAACGTGCACTTACGCAAAGC